TCCAAGCTTCCGCTGCACGCTCCCGCCAGGCTCGCTCGAAAATACATGATTTCATATTATATCAGTATATTTACACCACTTTAATCTGATCCACAAAGTCATGCATATATTTACATCACTTTAATCTGATCCACAGAATCATCCATACTTAAGGTTATATATGGTAACACTGAAGAAAAACATACATGATTTCAGATTATATCATTAACAATTTCTCCTGTAATTTATTCAATGGTAACATGTCATGCTAATCAAGTTCAGTCATCTCATCAGAATACTTCTTCAAACCTAACTACCAAGGGTGAGAAACTGGGAATGCGGTCATGCATATGGGAGTGGAGAAGACATGTCATATACCGGCTGCCACCCATTGCCTGTCGTTCGTCGGCTACGTCATCCTGCCCCATCCTAGCAAAGGAGGCAGTGGTTTGGGGCAGGATTGTGTGTGTGATTGGAAGGAATTAATACGAGTGATGTGTGCAGTGAATAATGGAGGCCAACATGGTGCGGCCCAACTCGAGCGCTGTGCATTGGACATGAGCGACCTGATCTGGTGAGCTCATATCAGGCCGGACCGGTCGGGAGAAGCTACAAGGACACGTTCAGCAAGGAGAAAACCGTCAATCTGACGTGCTAGCTGGACCAGATAATTGGGATCCGCTGATGATAACACACACAAAAAAATTAAACAGGGTAAATTGTGGCAACAATTTCGCTAAATAGGATAAAACGGATGAATTCACGTTAGATGGGGTAAATGCTGTCAAAATTTTCAAAATAGGGGGTAAAAACCAGAATTCACTCTAAAAAAATGATTCAACCAGAATCCAGCAAGGCGCGCGCCGTCATCTCCGTGCTCTACTCCACCAAAGAGGCCGGCGACCCCGACAAGACGCTGACTGATGTACGTACGTGCCTCCTCATGCAAAAATTCACGGTGTGAGCTTTAGTTTGCTGACATAATATATGCGTATATGTTCATGCAGCTGGCGCCATATTTCAAGAGGCTCGCCGGCAAGGACAACGAGGACGAGGACGTGAAGGAGCCCGTTGATCCGTCCGTCTGGATCGACAAGGCCTCGGGCTACTACAGATACGACGGCTCCCTCACCACGCCGCCTTGCACCGAAGGGGTTCTTTGGAACATCCTCAGCAAGGTATGCACACTACTCTGTGCGTTTTGTTTATTTATTTATTTGTTGAAGAAAAGAAGGGTTTTTCCCTTCCGATTTTCACGAAGGGAAGCCAATAATACGAGCTACAAGCACCAGTTTAGCTATCACTACTTTTTTTTATAAAGTAGGTTAAAAACCCCGGCCTCTGCAGCCATTTTTATTTATTATTCAACAAATGTCTAATAAAAGCATACAGGAAGCCATCCGAAGCCACCACTCACACCTACAAAACTTGATAATGTTGAGTGCTCTTACTCCCCATATCTAAAATCGGTGTCGTCGTCGATCCATTCACATAACGTATCGGAACTAAAACTGATGCAACAGACCTAAAGCGTACACCATATGCACACGTTTTAGAAGCCGCCATCGTCATCGAACCACTGACCCATCTTCAGCAGAGAGATCTGCATCGTCATTGCCAGTCCGTCCATTCGTCGACGCCACCGCACTGCGCTCGTTGAGCTATCACTACTACATGACCCAAAGTAAAGCAAAACAAGCACCAACAGGCGCACTCTCAGACATAGCCAAGAATGTCACCAGCAAACCCAACATCATACTCCCAAGCATCTCACCCCCCACACTCTCAGGCAGCACATGCACAAAGGACCTGTCCAGCAGAGGAGAGCAACCATACCACAAGTTTTTAAAAGCTGTGTGTTTTGTTTACCGACTGTTGATTTATCTGCCAGGTAAAACACGTATCAAAGGAGCATATCAAGATGATGGAGTCGGTGAGCGAGGTACGTTAATTTGATTGCGAAGCTAGCGAGCATGCGCGAGTGAACAGGAACCATGGTTCATCTGACTTCACTCTTGGAATGATCATTTGCATTGGTGAATCCATGATCATTTCCCTTTTTGACGCAGGAACCTGAGCCAAATGACCGGCCGGCTCAGAAAATGAATGGTCGAGTTGTTCGCTACTTTGAAGGCGAAGAAGCAAAAGATTGACCAGCAAAGGGTGCCAAGAAAGAGAAGAAAGCTTAAGTAGGGGTAATGCTCTCCGGGGCCGTGGAGCTGTGGCTCCGTTTGCCCTCCGATTCAGCTCCGAGGTTTGAGCCGAGCTTAACTATAAGCACATACACCCTCTATAACTAAATATAAGGCGCGTTTGCAGTTCAAAAACGTCTTATATTTAGTTACGGAGGTAGTGCGAAATACTCACAAAAGGAACAATTTCAAAATATTTTCCTTTTACAGTAGAAATTCAGGATAACTGGTGCAAAGTAATACACCTACAAGCCGATGGGTCAGTTCTTTCATCTGCTGATATATATTTTTTTTGTGGTAAAATTTGCATCATAGTTAAAGCTGCAGCTGTGGACGGCGAAACAGCGGACCCAATGGTGGATATCATGGATTTTCTTCATCTCTTTGCTGCTATGGTGCAAAGGAGATGGGGGAATTGAGATGCAAAATTTTGTTAACATGGGCCATATTGCTACGGAGAGAAAAACTTTCAATATTGCACCTTGTATTATTTTTGTGCAGGTGTAAACCAATTATTGCTAGTACAAATTTTTCATGAAAATGTATCATCATTTATGTGAGCATTTCTCTGTTGGACTGAATGAAGGGCTCACCTGGTCGGGAGGGGACGTTTTGATGAACATTTTATATGTTGGACTGAGTGAAGGGCTCATCAGGTCGGTAGGGGATGTTTTTATGAAGATTTTATATGTTGAACAGAGATATCCAAAATATAGTTGGAATCTAAGGAATTCAACATTTAATATGTGACCCCCACAAAAAAAAAGGTTCAACGTGTGACTGGTTTAATCCAGTTACGAAATTAAAAATAAAAATTAAATTAACAACTTTTTGGCGGCCCTCCAGTAGTTACCGCCAACCCCACTAAACAAGCAGTTGGCACAAAAAACAAACGCAAAAAAGGATCATAACAAAGCCATTTTGTTTCCTAAACTGGAGTATAACTGGAACCCAAAGATTTAACATCCGACATTTGACTAGTTTAATTTAGTTACCTAATTCAAGATCGAAACTGAATTCACATCTTTTTGCTGGTATCAGGGCGGTTACCTCCAATAATTATTTTTTTGCGGGGAGGTTACCTCCAATAATTAATAAATAAAACCAAACAGACAGCCATTCTGTTTCCTAAACTGGACTACAGTTGGAATCCATGAGACTCAACATTCAATATGTGACTACTTTAATTTGGCTACAGAATTCAAGACCAAAACTAAATTCACATCTTTTTTAACAGTATTCAAAAGGTTACCGCCAATAATTGACAAAATATAACAAAAACAAGCATAGAGCTATTTTGTTTCCTAAATTAGAGTACAGTTATAATTTGGGAGATTAACATTCAGTATGTGAATTTTAAACCATTTGTGGAATTTAAAATCAAAACTAAATCTACATATATTTGGTGGTGGCCACCGATTACCACCTACAATATATTTTATTTTCTTTTGCAAAACCAAGCACAAAACTATTCATATCCTAAATTGGAGTGCAATTCTAATCCAGAAGATTTGATGTTTTAACATTGTTGCATAATTCAAAATCAAAACTGAATTCACATCTTTTTGGTGGTATCCAAGTGATTACTACCAATAATTGACAGAAACAAAAACAAGCACAGGGCTATTGTTACTTAATTGGAGTGATGCCTGGGTAGAATATACTCCCCCGTCTCAAAATATTTGAAGTTCTAGGTTTGTCCCAAGTCAAGCAACTTTAACTTTGACCAAGTCTATAGAAAAATATATCAACATCTACAATAATAACCATATATAGTATGAAAATATATTTATGATGAAACTATCAAGACTAATTTGATGTTTTAGATGTTACTCCCTCCGTTCCTAAATATTTGTCTTTTTAGAGTTTCAAATGGACTACCACATACGGATGTATATAGACATATTTTAGAGTGTAAATTCACTCATTTTGCTTCGTATGTAGTCACTTGTTGAAATCTCTAGAAAGACAAATATTTAGGAACGGAGGGAGTAGAATATTTTTTCTACTCCCTCCATCCCAAAATAAGTGTCTCAACTTTGTACTAAGGTTGTACTAAGGTTAAGACACTTATTTTGGGACGGAGGTAGTATATACGTGGTCAAACTTAAAATTGTTTGAGTTAGGAACAAATCTAAAACTTCAAGTATTTCGTAACAAAGGGAGTACACATTACTCTTTTGGTATTCCGTAGAGATTTCCCTAGCGATAAGCATATACTCATAGCAGACCACAGATAACAGAAACGTACTAAATTCACAAGTATCTAAATTGTTCCAAAATAAACAGCAATGGAATGTAAAAGTCATCTCAACGGATCTAAATCGGTAAATAAATAAATAGTGAAAAATAAAAAGAATCAAGTTAATACACGCATTGATGTTCATGTATAAGAGTTTCCATGCACAAAATTGTTCAATAAGGATAGAAATGTTTAAGGAGCTTCCAAGTACATGGACCAAATCAAAATAGTCTTATCAGGAGGGTGTAGTCACCACACTATCAACCAGATGAACATGATGTAAACAACATAACTTAGTAATTACTCAAAATTGCTAAAAGGCATCCTCCATCAACAATGTGGATAATTCAAAGCAGGGTATATGACGAGGAAAAATGAAGTCCTCAATTATTTAATCAAAATTGTTTCAACAAGTTCTAGTCATCAAACCAACGACTAGAATCGACTAAACACCACAACTCCAAAGTTATTCAAGAGGGCTACACATGCATCCTCCAGTAATGACAACAATCAAAATCAGGGAATGCAGTAAAAAAATGAAGTCCTCAATCAAATTGACTGAAGAATAAAACACACAGGGTCTCCTTTTATTCAATCCGCACTTTCCTGTAGTTGATGTACTTGAACTTACATATCTCCTCAAAGAAATCATCAGCAGCATCATGGCAATTCTTCATCTGTGAGATTCGGATGACCATCGACTGCAGCCTGACACTGTACTTCACAAGCGATTCAAGAGTGCTCAACTTCTGTTCGGCATTGAGAGGCGAGCGCACGGTGATCAAAAGCTCTTCCAAGCAAGGGATGCAGAATCTTGAATCCAACTGCATTGAGAAATCACAGGAATTAACCATGGTCACACAAGTCATGCTAATATTAGTATACGATACAGCAATAAAGGCGGCGTGCCACTCACGTTTTTCAGGCTGTTTTTCTGGCACAGAGCAGCAAACATCGCACCATGGATCTCAAACTTGGTGAGCTTGGGATGGCCGTTGAAGAAATCGACCAAATCGATCTCCGGGAACGGCTGGAGCACATCAAAATCACCGCAGAATTCAATCTTCATCACAAGGTGCTTCACCTCGCTCGCACACTGCAACACCGAGCTGACGGCGGCCCAGCTCCACTGGACACCGCGCAGCGAGAGGTATTCCAGATCTGGGAGCCTCCCGGTGTCCACCTTATACACCCTCCCTGCATCGTTTTCATCACAATTCACGACACAATTTATTGCATCCGAACAACACAATCTTGCAAAGTTATGACGATGCGGCAGATGATTCGAAATCGAAATCGATTTCAAGGTATGCTGCGCACCTGTGCTCTTGGCGATCGATAGGCGGCGGAGGTTGTGGCCGCCCCGCAGGCTGATCCAGGTGAAGCCCTGGGCCTCGAGTGACTCGAGGCGGGGCGCGGAGAGCAAGAGCGAGCAGTTGCCGCCGCCGAGGAAGTCGAGCCGGCACCGCTGGAGCATAGCGAGCTGGATGGATACATCGCCAGAGCAGTCGCAGCCAAGCAGCGACAGGTCGGTGAGGTTGGGGCACGCGGCGACGGTCTCCGTGATCGCGGTATCGCGCAGCGGCGCGCCCACGATCTCCAGCACGCGGAGGTGCTGCAGCCGGCCCCACGCCGGCGCGTTGGTCATCAGCACCCCCCAGAGCCTCAGCTCCTCCAGGCCCGTCGCCAGGGCGACGCAGTCCAGGTGGCCGCCGCCCGCCGCCTCCTTGTCGGCGGCCGCGTCCATCCGCAGCTCGAGCACCCGGAGCGAGGCGCTCCGCATGGCGAGCCAGGCGGGGAGGCGGGCCATGGAGAAGGGGCAGTAGATGACCAGCTCCCTGAGCCGCGAGACGGCGGCCACCATCCGGCCGATGGCCTCGTCCGCGGCGCCCCCGCCCACGGCGGCGGCGTCGAAGGCGTTCCGCGGGAAGAAGAGCGCCGGGAGGTAGGGGACGCAGTCGCGCCAGCGGCGGCAGACGCAGGCGCACGCCGCCACGTCGCGGACGTTGCTGAGCATCGACAGGATGTGCTGCACCACGCCGTCCGGGACGGCGTTCATGTCGCCGCCGCCGTCGCCCCAGTCGTCACACTCCATCGCCATGGACGGCGGCGGATCGGACAGACGGTCAGATCAGCAGGCGAGTGTGGGGGGCCGCGTCTGCTTGTGGGGAATGAAGGGGGGTTTGAAATTTAAACCGGGTGGAAAGTGGGAGGCTGCGTCGGGAGCCCGCCCGTTGTGAGGCGAAAATTTTCAAGTTTGGTGCTCGGATTCGGGAGGTTTCGCGAGTTTGAAATGGGGCAAAGGGTTTCCTTCGCTGTTTCGGGGGTAGCGGCGCGACGCGGCGGCGGCGGCGTGCAGAAATTTTAGGTCATTCTTGAGGCTGGGCCATGGGCCTGAACCGGCTGCATTCTTCTGTGGAAAACTGGCTACCGAATGCCTAATGCTCAGAAGAAAGAAAGAAAACTACCGAATGCCTTCTCAAACGTGGCTCGTTCTAAAGAAAACCTGGAATGCTTTCCTAAAATAAAACGTCGAATTCTCTCTCAAAAGAAAAATTGAATATCCCCTCAAAAGGAATTCTTGGGAGCCGAGAGGATGAAGAAGGGGTTGATGAGCGGCTAACCTCAACGGCGACTTGATAGCCAGATGTTCAACTCCGGTGTGTCTTGGACTCAAAAAAAATGCCTAATCAACTAGTCCCAACTTGATGTCACCAGTGGCGGCAGATCTGTGACGTGTGGAAGTGGGAGGACGGGAAAGAAGAGAGAGGGCAACCATGCCAGAAAGACGAAAAGGGGAAGTGATAAAGGAGATCGTACGGATATGAATAAGGATGGATGAGAAAAGTGTATATGTTGTTTTAGTATATCTTCTATGTGTTTTTTATGATGTTTTGTCATGTGTTGGTATTGTGAATTTATGATTCTCGTAAGAATACGGTGTCATGTCAGTGGATCATGCACTGGATGTTAGGATGTCGAATCAATGTGTTGTATTAACAATCTGTGCAACTAGTTGTGCCTCCTCGACGATTGTGTGCGCATTATCTCATGGATAAAAGTTTAATAGTTATTCATGCATGTGAAACACTAGAAAGAAAGAAAGAAAAATGGACAGAAACACATATTTCGGTTAGGGTGGGATTGAATAGGGTTTTATGAAACCTTACAATTATGTTGTAACTATATACTCAAAAGAATCATAACTTTTTATGCACTATGACTATCTTTAATGTCAGACGTCTATCTTTGATGTCATACCATTTCTGTTATTTATTTTTTCAAACGCAATGACATTCACTACCGCCGCAAGCCTTTTGAATTGTAACATCGTGTTGTGGTATAAGCCCGGCGGTATTCATGATGGGGCGTTGCATGTAGTTGGATGCCCAAATGAGATTCACACGAGCAAAGCTTTTACCAAAGTTTGGGCCCTCACGATCGCGTTAATACCTACGCCTGCTTTGATGTATAATATGGATATAGCCCCGTATGAGAACTAGGGTTTGGCGTGCAATGGTGAGATCGATAGGATCAGGTAGCTATGGAAAAGGTCGAAGAGAGCCCGCTTGGATGCCTCTTTTCTTGCCTTATATAGGAGGGGTGAGGCTAGGGTTTATAGGTATCCATGTAGGTTATGATTTAGCTTAATCCTACGGGATTGCACCGGGTCTTCTAGATGTCTTTTCTTGTACGTCAAGTTTGATGATGCGCTCCAGTGTGTGTCGTGGGTCTGGGCCACCAGTGGCCAACGGGCCAACTCCTACCTTCGCCGGTACACCTCGAGGGCATGGCATCGTCACTCTAAAACGCACCCAAAAAGTGATACACACAAACTTGTTTCCCATGTTGCTTTCTACAAAGGTTTTTCTTATAAAGTGAAACACTCATTACCTCCAATTTTGCGCCAACTAAGGGTGTGTATAGCCACGTTATTACACATGCTATGCACCCCTAAAAAGAAAAAGGAAATTGCATGTGATGGTAGGTTGCCAACCACAAATACATGGTCTCTATGCCAAGTGCTACCAAGAGATTATCCACAAGCAATGGCAAATATGTGTCGGTGGGTGGTAAAGGAGTGTAGTCATGAATATGATGCCTCCATTAAGGAATACGATTTGCATTGTTGTTGTTGCATTAGACCAGCGAGGCCATGTTGTGTTGCTTTCGTTGAAGTGATAACAAACTTCACATATACTACACAACATGGATGCAACCGTATATATATCAATGCAATATTGGCATACATTAATTTGTTACCTAGGATAAATCTGCTCCCTTTGCATTTACATGGGAGACGAGAGGATGAAGAGGGGTTGGATGGCCATCTTAGCTCAAAAGTCAGCCGGTAGCACGATGTTCAACACCAGAGTGCCTTGGACTCAAAGAAAAGGCTTGATCAAATAGAGTATCAACCCTATGTCGCAAGTGGCAAAAAAACTATGGCATGTGGAAGTGGAAAGTGGTGTGACCGTGTGAGAGGACGACAAATAAGGAGGAGGGTGAGGTAAAGTGGCAATGGCACCTGTGAGACGCGTCAGATGTCAGTACTGCAGGAAGGTCCGAACGCGACACATCCATAGGAGACCAATCGACCAAACGTGTGCGATGCACGAATCACAGACGTTATGGTAATAAAACTATCACCAATAAAACAAACTGTGTGCGATGGCTAATCCATCAAGCATGATTCATATTAGAGTTGCATGTGCGAATCGTGGCATACAGTTGATCCATATGATATGTTCGTGATGAGGCAAAACAATAGAAACGGTCAGCCAGACCAAGGTTTGTGCGATAGACGACATATAGGTCACTCGGATGAACTGTTTGCGATAAACCAAAACAATATAAACGGTTAGCCAGATGAAGGTGTGTGTGATAGATGGCATACACGTCACTTGGATGAACTATTTGCGATAAGCCAAAATAAACACAAACGGTTTAGCTGAACAAGATGTGTGTAATACCAGGAAAATAGGTCAGTAATCAGAATTGTGTGGGACCGATAATAACATAGACGATTCCTGCTAATAAGTCGTGTGTGTTATGGGCAAACACTTGTTGCTATGCAATTGTCAACGATAGATGAAATCATCACTGACGGGTTCCGTAGTTTAGTCCGTGTGCGATGTGATCTGCTCTGTCAGCACAACATCTATGCTATGTCTACAAAACAACAACATATATACTTATAAAAACATGATTGCATAACCAAATTAAAAATCCAGTTACATAAGTGACTACAAACATAACACTTGCACACACCAAAGTAAACAATTACATGCATAATAAACTAGGAGAAACGATCATCAAATCATCTACTTCTTGTTGTGACGCTTGCCATTGCTCTACTTCCGGATGGATCCCTTACTGTTTTGAGGAAGACAGAGGCAGTTCCTCATGTCAACGATCCGCCTGTACATCTTGTAGCTCATGTACGCCTCCTTGGCTACGTACAGGATGTGATTTTTGTCCAATTTCTCCATCCAGGCTGAGTGCCAGCATCCATCGAAGTACATGGTCCAATGCGAATAGGTGTCGTACTCTCGAGGGAGTTCAACTTCCGTCCATACGGCTACAAAGTCGGCCAACACCTAAGATTTAATAGCTCAGCGTGGTCGATATGTGGCTAATTTGGCTACACGTCCCGTTGCATCCCTGTTGTTAATAATGTCACTTAATGGGACGTCGGATGCCACAGTCACCAAGCACTCTTGAAAGTAGTGCCGAAGTTTTCGTGAGGCCATGAAGACGGAGTAGGCTATTTTTTTAGTAGTGAGGGTAGCATGTCTTACATAGGGTTAGGACTTCGGAGATGTAATAGATGGGCTTCTGGACCTGGAACTTGTGACCCTCCACGTCTTGTTCGACCATGAGTACTGCACTAACCACCTGGTTTGTGGTCGAGATGTATAATATAATCGGCTCACATACGCATGGCGCTGCTAGGATGGGATTGGCGGCGACGAGAGTTTTGATGTCTGTTGATACGTCTCCAACATATCTATAATTTATGAAGTATTCATGCCATGTTTACAACAATTTTATATGGTTTTGGTATGATTTTCATGGAACTAACCCGTAATGACGCTGTTTTTAGTAGAAATGTTGTGGTGTTGTTTTTTGTGCAGAAATGAAAGTTCTCCAAATGAGCTGAAACTTTTTGATGATTTTTTTGGAACAAAAGAGACCCTCAAAGCTTCATGGAAGGATCAAAAGGTGAAGGAGTAGGGCAGAAGACACCAGGGGTGCGCTAGGGGGCCCAGGCGCGTCCCGTGTTGGGTAACGTAGCAATAATTCAAAAAATTTCCTACGTGTCACCAAGATCAATCTATGGAGTCATCTAGCAACGAGGGAGGAGTGGATCTACATACCCTTGTAGATCGCGCGCGGAAGCGTTCAAGAGAACAGGGTTGATGGAGTCGTACTCGTCGTGATCCAAATCACCGATGATCCTAGCGCCGAACGGACGGCACCTCCGCGTTCAACACACGTACGGAGCAGCGACGTCTCCTCCTTCTTGATCCAGCAAGAGGGGAGGAGAGGTTGATGGAGATCCAGCAGCACGACGGCGTGGTGTAAGTAGCGGGATTCCAACAGGGCTTCGCCAAGCGCTGTGGGAGGAGGGAGATGAGTCATGGGAGGGAGAGGGAGGCGCCAGGGCTTGGGTATGGTTGCCCTCCCTTCCCCCCACTATATATAGGGCCAAGGGAGAGGGGGGCGCAGCCTTGGCCCTTCCTCCAAGGAAGGGTGCGGCCAGGGAGGAGTCCCTCCTCCCCAAGGCACCTCGGAGGTGCCTTCCCCCTTTAGGACTCTTTCTTTCCCTTATCTCTTGGCGCATGGGCCTCTTGGGGCTGGTGCCCTTGGCCCATACAGGCCAAGGCGCACCCCCTACAGCCCATGTGCCCCCCTGGGGCAGGTGGCCCCACCCGGTGGACCCCCGGGACCCTTCCGTGGTCCCGGTACAATACCGGTGACCCCGAAACTTGTCCCGATGGCCGAAATAGCACTTCCTATATATAATTCTTTACCTTCGGACCATTCCGGAACTCCTCGTGACGTCCGGGATCTCATCCGGGACTCCGAACAACTTTC